CAAAATTCTAAGCAACATTTTTATGATGTTTGGAATGAGAAATTCCAGATATCCTAGCTCAGTTTAGGAAAGGAAGAGGCACCAGTGATCATATTATAAACTTATGTTGGATAGTGGAGCACATGGGAAAAAAACTCAGAGGAGAACCAGTCTGTGCTTCATGATTGTGTAGATTATGAAAAATATATGAACTGCTCTTAAAGACATCTGTGTACCACAACATTTAATTGTTCAGAGCACCGACCTATACTCAATATAAGAGGCTATTAGTAGGACAGAATATGGAAAACTGGGTAGTTCTTAATTGGCAAGACTGCATGTTATCACCGTATTTGTTTAACCTGTATGGTGAATATATCATGTGTAATTATAGTCAGAGAAAAGAGGTATGAAAACTGGAGGAAGAAACATCAACCATTTAAGATATGCATCTGACACCATACTATAGCAGAAAATAGCAAATGATTTGTATAACTTTAAAGTAGATGATGTGGCCACTAGAATATATTTCCTAAGCCATGGGCTAGTCATCAATCAGAATGGAGATTCCAGTCAATAAATGAAAAGATGTCAAAGGCTTGGAAGAACACCTATGAGAACTAGGTATGACCCTGAAATGTAATGAAATAATTCAAGGAAGAATCACTTGAAGATCTACAGTACCTACACTTGAAGCACAAATACATGTGTCTTGGAGCAAATCAAGCCTGAACTCTCCCTAGAAGACAAGACAACTAAACAGAAACTGTTGGACTTTGAACATATCATGAGAAGACATAACGCACTGGAAAAGCCAATAATATCTGATAAGGAAGAAGGCATCAAGAAAATACAGATAGATGCAATCATAGAAGTAATGGCCCTTGGTCTGCAGAACATGAGCAGGGTTGTTGGTGGTAGGGTTATCTGGAGGACTCTCATTTATAGGACTGTAATTTGTTCAACTTGATAGCATGGAGCCCCCGGTGGCACAGTGGGTTAAACCTTTGTGCCGGCAGGATTGAAGACCGACAAGTTGGATGTTTGAATCCGGTGAGAGCACAGGTGAGATCCCTCTGTCAGCTCCAGCTCCCAATGCAGGGACATGAGAGAAGCCTCCCACAAGGATGATTAAAACATCAAATCATCTGGGCACCCCCTGGGCAACGTCCTTGCAGATAGCCAATTCTCTCACACCAGAAGCGACTTGCAGTTTCTCAAGTCACTCCTGACACAACAACAAAAAACAAAAACAAAAACAAAACTTGATAACATGTAGTCTATATTTTCTATGACTTTGTAAAGTGCACACAATTGTTTTACAGAGCTAGAGCATGTATTTTTTTTACTTCTAAGAAACATGAGCTTGTAAACAAAAGTATACAACACAGTAACAAAATAAAATACCTGCTTTTCTTACACAAGATTCTCACATTTTAAAAGTTCATATTTCAAATAATTTCCCTTCTCATCTCCTGATTAAACTATGGGTTCTCCGTCTCTTTCTCATACACAGCAGATACACCTACCACTATTCCTTGATCAGATGTATTCTCATACATTCGCTCTCTAGATAAGTGCACTACAAATATATCTAAATTGTTTTTTGTACAAAAGGAAAAGTTGGGACAAAGAATTTGCTGATACACACATGTCACTCCAAGAAATCTCCTGACAAAGTTCCCACACCCAACTTAATTACTTCCCTACTGTAAAAACATATTCCATCTGCATTTATTCTAATACTTTCAAGTCCAAAACTAACACACAATAAAGCTAGCTAAATAAATGAAAGATTTTAGCCCCGAGAAAAAGGCCAGAAGCTGTTCTGCAAGTGAAAGCATCTGCAGCATCCATTTTTCTGCTGACACTTCACTTTACGTATGATGTTTTCACAAGACTTGTTTTAAGAAGAATTATCAAGCCCTAGACTATAGCTGTGCTTTTTACTGACACTCCAACCAAAGGCCTACGGCTAATTTTTGAGTACTACATGCATAGTCATATTACCACCATTGGAAATGCTAATATTTGGCTAAGAATAAATAAGAAGAATTTCAATCTGTTATATAAAAACAAATTAAGAAAAAATAAAAATACAATAAATCACTTTCATAAACTTTCACCTTTTTTATGAAGCAAGCCCCTAACAAATATTCTATATTGTTCAGTAACTTCATCTACTTCCCATGTAATCTACCTATTTAATATTGTTAGGTTAGTATTTAAGCACTGTAGAAGTGTTCAATAACATGAAAGGATGCTGTACAAATCATATATTTTAAAATATTATCATACACATTTTCCTAGTTTATCACTCTGTAAGCTATTACATAATATACAGTCTTTCTCAAACTGTGCCATCAGTGTCATGCCTCAGATAGAGTCTCAGCTTAGACATGCTAACTCCCAGTTTCGTGTTACAGCCAAGATGGGTAACCCAGGGTCCATGCACAAACCCAAACTGACCTTGTAATCCCAGAAAACCTTTCAAACTCATTGGAAAAGGAGAATCACAGTCCTTCAAGTTTCCAATGGATAAAATTCTCATTGAAAATATAGCATAGCCTGCTCACACAGAGGGCTTATTTAACTCCTAAAATGGTTTTTAGTGCACTAGAAGTGTCTGTATGGCCATTCCCAGCTTTGAGGGGAGGGGAGGATAATCCACAAATGGTCTTGGCAAAAATTGGCCCCTATGATGTTGGGCCTCAGCTAGCCATAGGTTCATACCCCCTCTCTTTGTTCATCACAAAATAAAGCATATGAAAGAGTCCACCTTCAATGCTGAGAAAACTGGACTGCCCTGAATTTTAACCAATAGTTTATTCTAAATGTTTAGAATAATGATGGGAAGCAAAGCTACCTGTGAATCTGGAAAGACCTGATCTTTGTTTATCTATTCAGCTCACTTTTTATCTTCAGGTATAAGCAGTCATTTTATTTATATAATGCCTGCTTCCCAAAATGTCACTCAATGTATAAAAAAAGCACCACTCAATTTAATGGACATGGAACAATCCACCTTCCACAATCAAGCAGCTAGAGAACCCAATTCACATTTCTACTGTTATTCTTGGCATACTTCTCCTTAAGACATTGCAGGTCTACTAACTGAGGTTTAGACACTACACAGTCCCTAACATTGCTAGGAACGTCTCTGAGTGTAAAAATTGTATTCGTATTGACTTCAAAAAGGCAAAACTGGACTAAAAAATTGAGGAAGGTTCCTAAAATCCTCTCCAGTGAGCTATATAAGTAACTGACTAACTGGAATCAACCTAGCAGTTCAAAAACATGCAAATCTGAGTAGATCAATAGGTAACACTCCAGCGGGAAGACTACGGTGCTCCATGCAGTCATGTCTTGGAGGTGTCTAAAGACTACACCGGCTCTTCGGCTTAGAAATGGAAATGAACACCAACCCCAGAGTAAGACATGATTAAACTTAATGTAAGGGGAAAACCTTTACCTTTAACTTTAATTGGAATTTATTTTGTTTTATAGCCTAGTCTGTTGGCATGAACCATGAGTTGTCTTAACCAATAGCATCACAATACCATTTGGATTTTGTTTTATGTCAACACAACTATTATTTACTATTTATTTACTACATTTATATACCACTTTTCTCCCCCTTAGGGAACTCAAAGCGGCATTATAAAGGCAAAATTCAGTGCCATACATACCAGTGAAAACCAAAAGATAATAACAAGACAATAACATATAACTTATAAATTAACCTAACCAAATTAAAACAGAAACATAAAAGAACATTTATACATAAGGCATAAAAATTAAACATTGATAATATAATAACGTCTATATTAAAACCCACCAATAAACAACACAATTTAAAAACAAGTATTAAAATCATGCCATCCAGGGCTACCAACTACCTCTGCATTTGTATGGTGAGATAAATATGTAAGGTATGGCCACTGAGGTGTTAAAACAATGGTCTGCTTGTTTCTTTTTATTTAATCAGTTATTATCACTGCAAAAAGAACTAGAAACAAACTGCTAACAATATGACACCATTCTTTTGAACAGTGCTTGAGCTTATGATTTAAGCATGGCAAAAAACTACACTCACTTTCTTACTATTAAAATATGTGTATCTAACAGTTACAAAATGAGAACCGGAAGGAAAGATATAATCTCATAAAACAGTATGAAAAAAGAAAACTTTACTACGGATGTTCCTAGCAACATTTTCACTGATCTCTGCAGGCAAAGAGTTATGCCTCAAAATACACTTACTCACATTTGGACATTATTCAGCTAGAAAATATATATCACTTGAAAAGACCCTTTACCCTGCAGGCAGATTTTTAGGAGAATATTGGTACTTAGTTCCTAAAAAAGTATATGTTCATGATGCTTGGGAGGAAATGGTTCTAGTTAGTTGTTAGTAATAACCTGAATCAAAAATATGATGCAAAGTGTGTAAAAACTAGCAATATTTACACCAATTTGGAAACAGAAGCAGTAAATGAACTAACACACACAAAAAGGTTTCCACTGTTTCATGTTACACAAAACAGATGTACCCTCAAAACAATAATACTGGATGGAATATTTAAAGACATTCCTTTACTCAAAACAGAGACAAAAATCGACCAAGAATGCACGAAACATGCACTAAAATAAATGGGAAATTATAGTATTTCCCCAACATTTGCAGCATTTTATCCCATGCAAAAGACAAAACCGGTGGCACTGAGCATAAATTATTAAACACACATTAAAACATAAGTGAAATCAGCCATGAAAATATTTCAAGCGGGTATGTTTATATTTTTTTGACTGATTATGCGTTTTATTTTTGTAATCCAGAGCAGTAATGCCAAACTAATATTGCCTTTCCTCAATGAAATGTATTCTAAAGAATGCAACAATTTTCATTGTGTGGAAATAGGATCTAGTATTTATCTTGGGCTTCAGCTATTATTTTGATAAAGAGCCTCATTGTTTTATATTATTCAAACTAATCAAAATGCCATGTTTTGTCTCTGTACCTGGAATTCTGGGATTCTGAAACATCCAAATCTGTGCACGTTTTCTTCACCTGCAAAAAAAAAAAGCAATTGCTACTTACTTTCCCATGAAAATACAAAAGAAATAGGCTTCCTCACTTGCAATTTATATATTTATATTACATAAAGTGGATACAGCCCTCCTCACCATGGTCTCTAGAAATCCTTTTCACATTTTACAGTGTGGATATGCAATGCTAAACACTGTGCTTCATTATTATCCCACGAACAGCTGCCAACTTAACTTCCCTTGACTCCATTAGTATGTAAAATGTTCAGCTAAAATAGTTTGGGAGTCATCTAACTTGGAACAAAGAAACCAAAGAACCAGGTTCCCTGCTTAGAAACAGGAGAGCCAAACTGTTCTCAATTTTGTAAAGAAATGTTTTCCCAACTGATACTGCTTCTGTTTCCTGCTAAAGCTCACAATAATAAACACCAGATTATGTGGCAAAAGTTGCAGCGTTAGCTAAATAATATATACATTAATTTTCATCTCCTGCATACAGTGTGTTTAATATTTTTTTGTCAAGTGTGCTGTTTGAATTCAGTCCCAAATATTGTCTGTATGTATCCATAAAATATTATTTTCTTTTTCTTTTTAAGACAACTTTTCATCTATCATGGAATGAATTCATATCTAACACCACCATTCAAAAGCACAATTTTTCATAATACAGACAGTACTTGTGTCTTTTGACTCTGAAACTAAATGTTTATTGCATACAGATTTCTTTGTTGCCAGAGTTTTTTCCCCGAGATGTTTAATCAAGAGACATAAAGGTGCTTTTTAACCTTTAAAACTTGTTATGCTTTGTATCATACTAGTCTTTGTCATATTTATGCCCATGAGGGGAGCAGCATTCCTGTTTTATTGTGGTATCTGGGAGGCACAGTGAAGAGAGATAAAGGAATTGAAGAATAGTGACTTGCCAGAATTAGTTGCATAAATTTTTGATGAATGCTCAAGGTCACATCCATCTTAATACATCTTCATTGGCTTTTATCAAAATGACAGCCATAGTTTCCTCCTGCACAGATACTGTGCATTACAATTCGTGGTGAGCTTTGGGCTTCCCCTGATCTCCAGCCCACCACTGTTCTCTCTCCAAAATGCAAGGGGAAGTTTAAAGCTTCCAGTTCCAATTTTAAAGGAACAAGAGTTTGTGCATCAGAACTCAGGGAACTAGGGATTATTCAAGCTATATTCTGAAGGAAAAACAAAACAAAAACAGGACTATTGGAGTAAAGCAAATCTGTAGTACACAAAAACCTCAAAGAAAATGACACGTCCAAACAAAAACATTGAACAGTTCTAATATTAACTGATGTCCGAAAGGCACAGAGTATACCACCAGAAATGTTGACAACTTATTGAGGACTAGTGGGTTTCTTTGTCCTCTGAATGAAATTAAACATTTTTAAAACAGAAGCGTCAGCTATGTAAAGTTCTTCTTCTATGAGATGTGCGTAAGGCATAATAAAACTTCTGAAGGACAGTTTATATTTCTACACTGCATAGTTTAGTGTTCTTCCCTGTTGAATTGTCTTATTAGGATCTGAGTTTTGTTTTTGTTTTTTTGGCTACGGCATTGCTACTTAGTTAAAGCCCAATTTTGGTGTTTTCAAAGTATTTTAGATTTCTGGATAAAGTTGACTCAAGCTGTATTAACCTAGTTATATGATTTGGTAACACACCATAATAATCTCTCAGGCCACAATGTTACTGGAATTCTGACTGAGAAATAAACCAAAATAACATACTACATAAAATAGGAGATGATATCAAATCAGCAAGTTTTAATATGTAACTAATGTACAACTTGCTGATTTGATATCATTACAATAATATGCTCCAGCAAAGGATCATTGCCTTGTCATGATGTTGGCGCTTGAGCGCCTTGATGATGCCACAAGCAAAACCGTGAAGGGACACCCAAGACGGGAAGGTCCCCTCTTGTTGCGTAGAAACACACCATCTCCTTGATTTACTGGGGAGTTGGCTGTGATGAAACACACGAGAAGGAGGCTAGAGTGCAAACGGAGGAAATCTCAGGATGTATCTGACCAAACACAGGCTAGAGCCTCACTTAGGGCCTATTCCGCGGCTATACGGGTAGCCAGTGAGACTTTCATGACTGCCTGCACAGCATCTGCATCTAATAGATCTTTCAAGTCGTTGGGGAACTGCTTCACCCCTCTGAGGTGGGGGAGGTCTTTGATGACCTGACAACTCAGTGCTGCGAGTTTGCGCACCATTTTGCAGATAAAGTTGCTCAGATTCGCCTTGAGTTGGACTCCAGTTTAAACACAGTGTCAGGATAGGTGACCGAGGCATCTGCTTGTCTGGTTTTGTGGAATTCTTTCCGGCTTGTTCATCCTGAGGACGTGGAGGAGGTCCTTGGGGCTGTGAGGGCGACCACGTCGGCTCTGGACCCCTGCCCATCCTGGCTAATTAAATCAACCAAAGGTGGTTTGATTGATTGGTTTATGTTGATCATTAATGTATTGTTGGAGCAAGGGATTTTTCCATCTGGACTAAAACAGGCCGTGGTTAGACTGCTCCTGAAAAAGACCTCCCTTGACTCCTCGGTCTTGAGCAACTATAGACCAATCTCCAACCTGCCTTTCTTGGGCAAGGTGTTGGAGCGGGTGGTCGCTTCTCAGCTCCAAGGTTTCCTGGATGACATCAACTACCTGGATCAGTCACAGTCTGGCTTCAGACCTGGCCACGGCACCGAGACGGCTTTGGTCGCCTTGGTGGATGACCTCCGCAGGGAGATGGACAGGGGGAGTGTGACCCTGTTTGTTCTCTTGGACACCGCAGTGGCTTTTGATACCATCGATCATGGTATCCTTCTCGGACGACTCTCCAGGATGGGCCTTGGAGGCACGGTTTTATCGTGGCTCCGGTCATAGAATCATAGAATCATAGAATCAAAGAGTTGGAAGAGACCTCATGGGCCATCCAGTCCAACCCCCTGCCAAGAAGCAGGAATATTGCATTCAAATCACCCCTGACAGATGGCCATCCAGCCTCTGCTTAAAAGCTTCCAAAGAAGGAGCCTCTACCACACTCCGGGGCAGAGAGTTCCACTGCTGAACGGCTCTCACAGTCAGGAAGTTCTTCCTAATGTTCAGATGGAATCTCCTCTCTTGTAGTTTGAAGCCATTGTTCCGCGTCCTAGTCTCCAAGGAAGCAGAAAACAAGCTTGCTCCCTCCTCCCTGTGGCTTCCTCTCACATATTTATACATGGCTATCATATCTCCTCTCAGCCTTCTCTTCTTCAGGCTAAACATGCCTGGTCCTTCCTGGAGGGCTGATCCCAGATGGTGAAGCTGGGAGACACCTGCTCGGACCCCTGGCCTTTGACCTGTGGGGTCCCGCAAGGTTCCATTCTGTCTCCCATGCTTTTTAACATTTACATGAAACCGCTAGGAGAGGTCATCCAGAGTTTTGGAGTTGGGTGCCATCTCTACGCAGATGACACGCAGCTCTACTACTCTTTTCCACCTAATTCCAAGGAAGCCCCTTGAGTGCTGGACGAGTGTCTGGCCGCTGTGGCTGTCTGGATAAGGAGGAACAAGCTGAAGATTAATCCCGACAAGACAGAGGTCCTCCTGGTCGATCGTAAACCAGATCGGGTATAGGGTGGCAACCTGTGTTGGACGGGGTTGCACTCCTCCTGAAGTCACAGTTCCGCAGTTTGGGTGTCCTCCTGGACTCATCACTTACGCTTGAGGCTCAGGCATCGGCGGTGGCTGGGAGGGCCTTTGCACAACTAAGACTCGGGCGCCAACTGCGACCATACCTCGGGAAGGCGGATCTGGCCAGGGTGCTCCACGCCTTATTCACATCCAGATTGGACTACTCTAATGCGCTCTACGTGGGGCTGCCCTTGAAAACGGCTTGGAAATTTCAGTTGGTCCAACGGATGGCAGCCATGTTGTTAACTGGTCCTCTTTACAGGGAGCGGTCAACCCCCCTGTTTAAGGAGCTCCATTGGCTGCCGTTCATTTTCCAGACCCAATTCAAGGTGCAGGTTCTTACCTACAAAGCCTTGAACAGTTTGGGACCTGCCTACCTGCGTGACCGCATTTCTGTGTATGAACCCACATGATCTCTTCGATCATGGAGAGGCCCTGCTCGTGCTCCCACCTGCATCGCAAGCGCGACTGGCGGGGACGAGAGAGAGGGCCTTCTCTGTGGTGGCCCCTCAACTCTGGAACTCACTTCCCAAGGACATCAGGCATGCCCCATCTCTGGCAATCTTTAGAATAATGAACCCTTAGCACCATGTTCTCTAAAGCACCTTATACTGATTTAGGATTGTTTGTATGTTCCCACCAACACCCCACCTCCCTATCTTGTTCATGCCCAGCATTATTTTAAATTTTAATTACATTCGGCCCAGCCATATATTTTAAATGTGTGTTGTGCTATTGTTAATGTTTATGCTATTTGTGTTAAGATTTATTTTAATTGCTTTGTATTGTTGTTATTGCTTTGATGTATTGTGGGCTCGGCCTTATGTAAGCTGCACCGAGTCCCTTGGGGAAATGGTAGCGGGGTACAATAAAGTATTATTATTATTATTATTATTATTATTATGGTCATGGAAGAGAAGGTAATGGTTGACTGGATAGCAATTAACAACAATGAAATATGTAGCACACCACATAACACAATATTTTTCTGTAAAAATCCATTATCAAGCTGAAAGTATCCACAAGTTTAACCCTCAAGGAATTTTGGAGTTGTTCCCTATCTTTTCAGATGGGTTTTCCTAATAAGTAAAACTCTCTTATTTGTTTCTGAAAATGGTGGTGCTGTGCTGGCTACACATCATCCTCCCTCTATATCTATAATGCATACTGATAAACTGGGATCCATGAATCTCACAATCAATCTTTTCTTGAACATTTTAAGGAGTATGGAGAGTCTATAAGGCAAGAAGGGACTTTAATAATGTCCCTTGTTGAAACAGAACATACTAAATACCAATTACCAACACCCAGAAATCATCATCAT